CACGTATGATCTTGTCTAGGAGATCAAATGCTAACAGTAAAAAGCTTGCATGATTGGCTCTCAAGGTTTGACATATGCTAAAGTCATACTTTCTTATAGTTGTTTTCTTTTAATGATTTTCACTAACCATTTACAACTATGATGATTATTGCATTGTCAGAGACAAAGTGAGTCATATAAGTGTGGATACTACTTAATGTATTGTATGACACACATTATTTGTGCCCATATTACAAGAAGCTGGGAAACGATAATATTTAGATTTAATGAATTTTGTTTTTGTCCATCATTTAAAATTCATATACACTAATTAATATCATGTATCTTGTGTAGGGATTTAGGACTCCTACTCCACTTCCGGAGAAGCTACTTACATTCCTAAGAAAGACACTTGCAAAGTATTTAATTAGATTATACAATAGTGCGTAGTTATTAGTTGATTTATAGTTATTAGTTATTAGACTTTTTACATTATGCTTTAAACATTATGTGATGTAAATATGCATAACATTTTTTTTCTTCCTTACTACTTCGGGTGTAAAGGAACCAAAACAGAAACCTTGGACATATTACATCGGTTGGAACCGAGACCAATAGTCTCTACCTTTTTACCTCGTCAGTACATGTCTCGGTTCAAAAATCGAAACGTATTGTCAAAAGTAACCGCTATCATTTTTCTTCACTGCACTAGTAACATTTCAGACAATACCTCATTTTACATTACATTTTTATCATAAGATAGAATTTTATATAGTACCACTCAAATTTGTCTATAAAAAATAAGTGATAAACTCTTATCCATGAATATCCATTTACTATAGAAAATTGGTTGCAATTAATTGATGTGAAAAAGGTTTGTACGAGATGGGTATATATCATATGACAATATGATAGTGGAGTACATGTGGGGTTTGTCTATCTTAAAAACAACTTAGTTTAATTATTGTCCAAAGCAAATGTTCCTTTGACGGTGTGACTACCAATTCATAGCAACACCATTATTAGTGTTGTAGGAGCAAATCATTGTTTTCAAAGGAATCGCCATTTATTACACATCTTCACCCATCTTCTAAAATACATATATTTATTACTTATTCTCCAAAAGTTGGACATAAATCTTACTTTAACTCTTTTTTTATAAATATTTGACTTTCTAAAATTCAAATAATACCATTTTATAGTTTCTCAATGACTTACTTACCTTTATATACTACTATTCCTATATTTGGTTTAATTTAGTATCATTATTAATAATCAAGGGCTTGATTGAGTTATTTGAATATCTAATAATAAAATTTTTTACCTGTTGAAATTTACATTGTTAGTTTTATAAATTATTATTAACTATATTAATTATGTGTAAACTAAACCATTAAAATGATTACATTATTATGTTTTTAAAAGCATAGAAACTAAAATGAATGTTTTATTAATGAGAAAGGGATTGAATATGACAGATATATACTTTTTTGGAAAAATAAATTAAACCTTACTCTATAATATTTAAAAAGTATAAATATTTTTGCTTGAAAATTCATTACTTTGATTTACAAATGTGTATTTTTTTTAAAATTTGAGTAATTAAAATACTTTTTAAAATTTGAAAGATAAAATTGAAGTTCACCAGTATAATTTTAAGATTTTATAACATAATTTGAAAAAATGAGATTGAAAGAAATTGCAGAGGATAAAACGGATTGATATCCGACAAACTAGCCCATTAACTATTCATAGTGGATGAATTGTATTAAGAATTTTAATCTCTCAATCCATTTTGTTTCGGTCTATCTTTTTTATTAATTTGATGAATCAAAATGTGAACTAATTTAGCTTGATCTGTTAACTTTTTTTTAAATTAAAAACTAAAGTAAAAATTAATTTAAAAGACTAAAATTTTATATTATATTTTTCAAAATCTAAATATATAATAGTATTATAATTTAAGTATTTAACAGTTATCAATTAAATTTCAATTATTAATTTAAATTTCAATTATTAGTTGTAATTTTAACTAATAAATTAAAAATTTATAAAATATTCTATATGATTAAATATATTTTTAATATTTATTTATATATAAATTTTAAAAATAAAAAGTTTAAAAAATTGAAAAAAATAATAATAATAATAAACCAATCCCATGACCTGCTAATAGGAAACAGATTATGATTAGTGACTTATTTTATTTTTTTTCACGGATCAACCTAATCTAATCAGTTTTTATAGATCAATGTCCATTTTCTAACCTAATTTCACCAACCCAATACTCTCATTTTTTTTTTTCCTTTTTCTTTTGTCGTTTGTGAAAATTGTACATCAATCATTTAGATTTGAGAGTATTGTTGAAATTGATTATTAAATTTTTATAATAAATTATTGTACCAAAATAGACATGACATGTAATTATATAAACTTGTACAATTTCCATTTGTTGTAATTGTTGGAGTACAATTTCAATTTGATAAGTGATAAATATGTACTTGGAGTTACAAATAAGGTAAAAGTAAACCATATAGGTCCTTATCTAGAAGTAGTAACCTTATTTTAATAAATTTATTTGATTTATAGTTTGTTTTTTTTTATTTATTAATGGGTTAAAAATTTGAAATTGGTTTGAGACACAACAAAATTAGACTTGGATTAAAATTTTGCAAGTCATTTAGTAAAATTCAATATTCAATAATAATGAATTCTAATGCATCATTAGATGAAAACAATAGTTTTTCTTAGAATAAAAATACCTTTTAATTTTGAAATTTTAGTTAAAACATACATTTAAAAAAGTCAGAAGAATTTAAGAGAGTTGAAAATTGACAGTAAAAATAAGTAAAATTAATAATATTCAATAATGAATTATAATGCATCACTACATGAAAACTATAGTTTTTTTTAAGAAAGAAATTACCTTTTAATTTTTGAAATTTTAGTTAAAACATACCTTTAAAAGTGATAAGAATTTAAGGGGAGTTGAGAATTGACAGTTAAAAATTGACCATAAAAATAAGTAAAATCAATAATATTCAATAATGAATTATAATGCATCACTAGATGAAAACCATAGTCTTTTTAGAATAAAAATACCTTTTAACTTTTGAAATTTTAGTTAAAACATACATTTAAAAATGATAAAAATTTAAGCGAAATTGAAAATTGACCGTAAAAATAAGTAAAATTAATAATATATAAGTAAAAGTATTTATAAAATTATTATTTTAAAGTTTTAAGTTGAGAATATTTTTATGATATTTTATATAAACTTGTTTAAGATACACTAGTTCGAATCTTTTTAATATATTTTTAAAAAAAAATTGGAAGAATTAAAATAAATATATAAAATTTTTGATAATATAAAATATATAAAATATATTAAAATTAAAAACAAACTTTTATGTATTTATTAATTTTCATATAGAAAAAAATTGGCTGCCAAAATCTCTTGTAAGCCTTTTAAGCTCCGTCACTAACATTTAACTTAATAATTTCTAATTTTATATACCAACTTGTTAACAATTCAAATTACCAAATTTTCTTGGGTCTTCCCCAGAAATAAATAGCAGAACATTCTTTAGTAAAACTATTTTACACATCTCTCTTTTATATATATAAACATAATAGACACTAAGGTTTCAAATTCCCAATAAATAAATAGAATTCAAATAAGTTAAAATGAGATGAAAAGTAAAAAAGAATTGATAAAAAACAACTAATATTATCTTAACCAAAAACATAAACATATATTTTAATTCAAAAATTAAAACATAGACAGAATGAACATTTTTGCATCTTAGTAAAAAAACAACATCAGAATAAGATAAATCATACTTAAACAAATGGACCACGAAAGTTTAAATCTGTTAGAGTTATTAATATAATTTACACAGCAATTGAATTTAAAGATATTGGTTTTATATGATAATGATTTTTGGATTCAGATATGAACAGAAAATCTTGCATAAAATACAAATAAGTCAAAATCTAGATATATAAAAAAAAAACTCACAAAACTTATTTTCTAAAAGTATTTCAGCATGATGGTAACAATATTTAATATTAAAAGGATGTAAGAAGTTATAGATGGAAGATTTGTTTTTCTTGATGCAAGAATAAAGGCAAAAGAACTTTGTCCCACTATAATTGAGCATGCTTCTTGGATGAGGATGAGGATGAAGTGGACTTGACTTGATATCAAAAAGAAAGAAACATGATTAATGGAAAATTATGTGTGGTTCTTTGAAAGGAGTGAGAAGGGTGGCAGCTTTTACTGTTCAAAAATTTACCACTTTTGAACAAATCTAAGAGAATGGTTCTTTTTCTGATGGAATATATCAATTTGAGGTAATCTGAAATTTGCTAAGCTTATCTTATTGTTCTACAATTTGATATTTTGTGGTAAATATCTTAAACTACACTTTATCATTAACCTCTGTAAACATATCAGAAACCATGTCATTATACTTGGAATTGTTGATGATGTTGTGTGAATCCAACTTAGCAGAAATATAAGAAAAGCAACTTAGCAGAAAGCCAACAAAGAGATATTCATGGGGTCATGGTAGAGTGGGTGGCCAAATCCATCATCAATTTCGAGTCCCCCATAAACCCCACTTCCTCGAGATTCTCACATTCTCAATACTTTTGATTTATAAATTTTGGGGTTTTGGAACTTTACTCAATGGCCAAACCCAGAGAATGTTGGATTCTTCATAGCCCCAAGCACATATATTACCATCTAATACATAAGTTAATCAATTTATAGGTTAAGTTTTCTGAGCAATTCAGCACACCACAAAGCTTGTAGCTTGCAGGTGCCCATATCTAGGCAAATGCATACTGTAACAGGTGAATAAAATAAGCAATGATTTTGATTTTTGACCCCTTTTACACCAAAACAAGAGGAAAAAAATGCCATGGTTTGATGTGAATCTGTATGATGTTCACTCATACGATTAAAATATAATTGTCTCTCTCATTGTCCAGTGTGCTTCTTTGGCTTTTCTTACTCTGGTGTGAATAAATAATTGTTAAAGCTCTTTTTGTTTCCTTGGCAAGTGCATGATTAAGAAGGCTCAAGTGAATTGCCAACTATGTCCTTGCCATATTCTCTCCCTGCCATGTGTCATTTGAATTTACCTTCAATTGGTTCATTTTTAAGGGCATAACAACACATTATCTTCGTTTAAAGAACCTGCCTCTGTGACAGGCATGCTATGCTAGTTCCCTTTATATTATCAAAAGCCTGTTTTATTTTCTTGGGTCTGACACAAGATTTTTGGTGAATGGGATTCTGCACTTGTTTTGAAAATCACTGCGAAGAAAGAACACTCACTCATTTGAGAAAACTGTTGTTATAGCCTCATTATCTTTATCCTTTAGTACTACTACTACCATCAGGTGTTTTCCCCGTAGTGTTTGGTTCTTGGGATATTTCAATTGAATGGGAAAGCCAAGAGGAGGAGAAGCTGCTCTTTGTTTTGTGGTTTTCTTCTGGTTTTGGAGCTCTTCCCATGCTTTGCTCTCTCCAAAGGGAGTAAACTTTGAAGGTAAAGTTGAACTTTTGTCTTTTCTAGTTCCGTAGATTTGTGCAAAAGTTTAGCATTCTATGTCTTCAAATCAGTTCATTGAGGAGGATTTAGAACTGAGTCTTTGTGTGTCTCTTGATGTAGTGCAAGCTTTAATCGGGATAAAAGCTTTTCTTGTGGATCCCCATGGTATTCTAGATAATTGGGATGCGGATGCAGTTGATCCATGCAGCTGGAATATGGTCACGTGTTCCCCTGACAATCTTGTTGTTAGCCTGTGAGTCTCTCTTCAATCTTCTTCTTCTACATTTTCAAGTTGGAATAGTTTCTTCAAAACAAAGGATAAAATGTTAAACATTCCACAGCAACAAGTTTCAAGCTTGTATTGGAAAATGTTTTAACAGTTTGATGAACCTGGTTCTGCATTGTATAGGGGCATTCCCAGCCAAAATTTATCTGGTATTCTATCTCCAAGCATAGGAAACCTGACATATCTTCAGACTGTGTAAGAATCAGAAAG